AAGATTTCATTCAGTGAATGTTTGTGTGAAACATGTGCTAAGCACTGAGGATACAGTTGAGAAGGAGATAAACTAGGTCCCTATCTTTATGAAACATTTAGATTAGTGGCACATAGAACAAGCACAAGTAAGTAAATGTGTATATCTGGTTAGAGGGCATGATTGGTACCATGAAGGATAAAACAAATGATGTCACAGAAATTCAGGAAGAGGATGTCTACTTGAAATAAAGTGGGACTATATAAGGGGCTAACGTTAGAGTTAGATATTGAAGGACATAGAGGAACTAGCTATTCTAAGACCTCAGGAAGATAATTCTAGCCAAAAGAACAGTGAAACAAAAGCCCAAGAAGGGAAATTGTTTGATGTTTGTGGGGCACTGAAAGAAGGCCAGCATGGCTTGAGGCACAGTGATTAAGGGAGAGAAAGATAAGAGCTCAGGGAAGTTGGCAAGATCTAGATGATCCAGAGCCTCACAGACTATTGTAAGGAGTTGAGTCTTCATTCTGAATAGGATTTTAAGCTGGAAAGAGATGGCATTTTCAGGAGAGAGTTTTGTCTTATTGTTTCTCCTTTAGCTCACAGTTAGGTATACCCCATGTTACATCATACTCCAAACTGGATTTTATAAGAAATATGGAGAGAAGATAGATGCCTTTGCTGATACATATTCCATCATTTGTTGCATTTTCAAAGAATGAGATCTTAGAGCTAGTAATGGCAGATCTTTCTCCCCCATGGAGAATAAAAGTTTGCTTTAAGTTACTTCCTTATATTGGAACATAGCCAGAATTTAATACTAATACAAATATAAGTTTCTTAAGAGGTCAAAATATATATCAAGCAAATTTTTTTAATTTCTTAAAAGGCAGAATTTTTAAATCATAAAATAATTAGAAACAATGTACATCAATATTCCACAGTTCAAATTTAGGCTAAATAACCAAACCCTGTAAATTACCTCAGATCGTTTTTGTTGCTATTTAAAACAACATTTCAATAACTTAAAACGTCAGCCTACTCTTCCCATCTCTTAATCCTCCCAGGAAGTACAACTTTTCCATAGATTTAAATAACAAATCCAAATATTTACTTATGGTAGGAGATTCTGACATTAACTGTGGCTGAGTTCGTCAGAAAGAGGAAGTCATGAAAATGTATTAAGCATTTTAAAATGGTTACTTAGAGTATGTCCTTACAAGCCCTAGGTGAAAAAGGCAGTTCTTACTTTGAGACAAGCTCTCATTAAGCTTCTCAGGCTCTAGTTCTCTGCTTTTTTTTTTTATTTAGTGTTTTAATTTTTGTTCGTTTGTTTGTTTTAAAGACACGGTCTCCTTACATAGTTCAAGCTGGCCTGGCCTTGAACTTACTATGTAGCCCAGGCTGGTCCCGAACTTTCAGCAGTCCTCCTACCTCAGCCTGCCTAGTGCTGGGATTACAGGTGTGTGCCACCACACTCAGCTTCTACTTTATAATAGCACCTAAAGTTTGTGCATAATATAATTCTTGGAACAGCATTGTGACCAATAATAAATAGTTCATAGGAAAGTCATTTGCCTGTTTGATAATGCCTTATAAATAACATTAATATTTTGACCAATATTTAAAATTTTTTAACTCCATTATGCTGACATTTCCAGAAATAGCATTAACTCAGCAATGAGTCATCTTTGATGCTGTTTATTAAACTGAAAAGAAAGAAGGTTTTTGCCTAAAAAGTAATTTAATTCAATACTTTGATTTGTCACTACTTGGAAACTCCATTTGCTTCCTCAGCACTGGATGGCAATGATGTGCATGCAAGCCTTCCTTGTCCTCAATTTTGCTGTAATGGAAAGCATTATAGAATCTTAGCAGTGAACGTCATCCAGTTCCTATGCAAAACCCACCTCCAAAACCCACCTCCAAAACATGGGAGGAAATCCAATATCTAAGTTCTATTCAAGGCAAGAAGATTCCATTCTCAAATATTTCATTTCAACAATTTAGGTTATACCAGCTGTTCCATTACTAAATAGTAAGTGATTCTTGAAAATGAATGAAGATAATAGTACCCTCATTTGCCATCATTAATTTTTACATGAACTGTTTTATATCCAGATATATGCATATAAAACATTAGTACAGATAAATTAGTGTTAATTAAAAATGTGTAACAACACAAATGTCTCTTCTGTGTTCTGAAGTCTTACAAATGTTTTCAAGACTGGACATCTGAACACATCAAAAACATTATCAGAACCAAACTTATAGGGCTTTCATTATTGCTTAATCCTCTAGGTTAAAAAGGAAACCAATAAATATTAAAGGTATTTACTATATAGTGCTGATTTTTACTAGCCAAACTCAGCCCTCACAAATAGCTGGACCAGGATAGCCTTTCTCAGTTCACTGTCCATTAGGAACTTGAAACATTTTCAATTACAGCCTTCATTTTTCGTGTAGACTTCAACATATGTGGCCCAAAGAAAGCCGTCTCTGAGGTGGTCTCTAATTCAGACTTTGGAACTCCTTTTTCAACTTCACTTTGGCTGTTGCTTCGATACCGATAAGCAGACTTGTTTTTCACAGCCTCTGCTATGAGACCATCAGGGTCAGTAGCATCCACTGGCTTGGTCTTTACATCTTGCTCTGACCTCTTGACTGACCAAAACATTACACTGTTCATATCTTTAAGGCTCTCTAGCATATTTGGCATGTCAGGTTTCTTTGGGTTGTTCTTAGCCAAAGTCTTTCCAGAATTGGCTTTTTGCTCTACCTTCTTTAATTAGATCAGTAGCAGATGCACTTTGGTGGAGCCCCACTGGAAGGGGTTGTGGTGGTGGAGGTGGAGGTGGTGCTATAATAACAGATATGGTAGAATCTAAGTCACCTGCAGTGAGATTTTGTTGCTCTTGCAGGGTCACAATTTTAGCAATCTGAGCTCTGAGAGCAGCAAGTTCATTTTCAAGTGCACAAATCTTCTGCAGTGCTGCCTCATTCGCCAGTGCTGTAGTCTTTGGTGGAGGCTCTTCTTGGGACAAGTTTGGTAAGGAAATATGCCTGCTTGGGGGCTTCTCAAAGAAAAGATCATCCTGAAGGGGTAGATTGGACCTGACCTCTGTCCTGAGTCTTGTTGAGCCCTCTCCTCCTTCTGTGGCTACCCATGCAACATCAGCAAAAGACACCACAGCATCCTCTCCTGGGTGGCTGGAATTCCAGTCTGTCACATGGCTAGTAAGCTGAAATTGAACTCTTGGACACTGGATCAGAAATAAGTTAGTACCAATTTTCCTTACGATACTTTGAGATAACTGTGTGGCTTTCCCCAAGGTACCCATTGCATGCTTACTTCAACCTGCGGAAAAACCATCCTCATCAGGGGCTTAATCCAGCCAAGCATTTAGATGGCAAAGCCTTCTCAAATTTGCACTTCAGGTACTTCAGGCATACAGAGCAGCACATGGTCCATAAAGCAAACACCTTCTTCGGCTACTTGGGTTTCCAGTATAATGGCAGTTTTTTGTGACTTTTCTGTTTTTCCCTTGCATCCTGTATTACATATTCTGCCTTGTTCTTGGAGATTGCCTGTGGCCCAAGGCAACAACCAAATCTGGGAATACCTGTCTGCTTTTAGTAGAACCTTGTATCGTAGTTATGTATACCTAAGGCTCCCAAAAGGATAAGGATTAAAAGAAAGGATTAGATTTTTCTTTCTGTGTACCTTTAATAATATAGATGACTGATCTGTATGTTTATCTTTTATCTCTGTGAGTTTCCGTCTTTTGCCACCTGTAGCAAGATTTTGTTGTCACAAAAATGGAATTTTAACTCATAAACAAGGGTATCAATATAAGATCTCCTTTCCATAGTCACGACATTTCTATGTTTATGATCATCCTTATGAAGAACAGTACCTAGAAGATTCTGATTTTTATACTGATGGTTTCCATTTTGTCGGAATTTGCTGATGGTGTTCTCAAACAGAAATTCCTTTTGCAGATATTGAAAGCTTTGCCACGTGTTACAAGCAAAAGTTATCTGATAGCAGCTTTATCTCAAATATGTGCACACCTTTATTTCAAAGCATTCATTTTGTGCTCTCAATAAGCTAATCAGTGAAAAAAATTAGAAAATAAATCAACATTTTTATTTTTAATGAAAAGAACATTGCTATTTTGTTGTTTTACTTCTTTGATGTGTTTTATACAACCCTTTGAGCTTCCTTTGGGCATATAATATTTTGCTTTTTCTGTTTACTAAAGCTGCAAACTTTTGTTCTTCAAACTGTAAAACTGTGCTTGCTGAAATCTAGTAAAGCAATTTTTCAGCTAAAAAAGAAACATTTTCCACTAATTTAGGACTTTAAACGATTTATATAGATCTGGGTATGGTGACACATACCTTAGTCCTAGCTACTCTGAAAGCTGAGGTAGGAGGATCACTTGAGCTCATGAGTTTGAGATCAGTCTGGACAACATAGAGAGACTCTGTCTCAAGAAAAGAAAAGGTTCATGAAACATCCTTCCTATCAAAATTATAAACACATTCTGTATTTTCTTGTAAGGGCATGAAAGTGATATTTTTCCTGAATTATCAGAATGGAGGATTTATTCAGAAATAATACTTGCTTAAACCATTTTAAGTTTTGTTTTCTATTAATAGGTCTAACTAAGGAGGACAATATTAGTTGTCTAACAAAATTAGTTTTCTAAATTAGTTTTCTAACTGACACTATGTTCACTTTAAAAAGTAAAACAGGCCGGGTGTATTGGCACACACCTATAATCCCAGCACTCGGGAGGCTGAGACAAGGAGGATCCCTGTGAGTTGAGGCCAGCCTGGGCTACATAGTGAGTTCAAGGCCAGCCTGAACTACATAGCAAGACCCTGTCTCAAAAAAAAAGTAAAACGAAAGACAACTTATTGGTTAAGAATTGTTAAATGGTTTCCCTAAGAAATGATTATGTGTATATGATTAAAGATTTGCCATTCATCCCCGTGGCTATTTTGTTTTGTAGGTCCCAGTATAAACACATGACTAGAAAAAGAAAATTTCTTCTTGCCTCAGTACTTGCTCTCCAGAATTTGAGTTTTATGTACCCATCATGTCAAAAGTGCTTCTCTCGGATAATCCTTGGCTCCAAAAGGTAAAAGTAAAGCCTGTAAGCATGAAGCAGGAAATAAAAATATGCACTCAAGGGCAAGTAAAGACTAAATCACCATGCTAGGACATTATATTCTCTCAGAGACTCTAAGGGATTGGTTCTTCTATAAATCCCAGAATAGAATTGGCTGATAATCCAATTTCTAAAGGGAAGGTTCAAGTTACCTCCAAGTCTTTTGCTAAATACCTACCTTGGAGAAGAAAACTCAGAAAGCAAGTTCCAATTCTGGTAAAAAGATTTAGTCCACTTCCAGGATATCCTTGGGAATTAAGTAGGAGTTGTTTGTTTTTCCGTAGCTCCCAGATTATTTTTTTATAAATAAGTAAACTACTTGAGGGCAGCCACTATGTTGTATTGAGTATCCCTTATCAGAAATGCTTGGGACCAGAAGTATTTCAGATTTGGGGGTTTTTCAGATTTGGGAATATTTGTAGACATTTTACTAATTGAGCATCTAGTCCAAAAATTTGAAATCCAAAATGCTTCGAACTCCAAAATCTTTTGAATGTCCTGTGAGTGCTCAAGAAGTTTTAGATTTTGGAGCATTTTAGATTTCAGATTTTCATATTAAGAGTGTTCAACCTATAGTAATCCTATCCTTCAGCAGCTAGAACCGTGTTTAACATGTGATTCTTTAATAATGTTCAAATGTAAGCCAAGTTTAGCAGAGAGCCTAAGATCCTCTAATCTTTATAGAGAAGTAAGAGGTTAAGTTTGGAGTTCCATACTTTCTGGCTGAGATAAGATAAATATATCCAGTAAGCATCTAGTAGTAGGTAAGAGTAGTATTTCAGCAATATTCCTTTTTTTTCTTTCTTTCTTTCTTTCTTTTTGGTACTGGGAATCAGCCAGCAATATTCTTGACTATTCTTTTTGTCTAGTTGGCATTGACTGGGGAGGTGGAAAGGGATTAGTAGTTCTAATTCATGTTTAGACTCTAAATCATCCATGTAGTACTTGTCACTGTTCCTTATTAAGGCACTCAAGTTCTCATTTGTAAGCTCTGGGAGAAAAACCTTGTTTGTATTATTCATCATTAAATCCTAGGCATCCAGCCTAGGGCCTAGTTAATACAAAATGCTCAGCAAATGTTTGTTAAATGAATGAATAAATGACAGTTTGATAGTATCTAGGTTGTCTTAGGTTTACCTATTTTCAGGTCCCTGCCTATCACAAAACAACTCCAAACCATACTGGTATTTGTCTTATCAGAATCTATTTTTAGAAGCAGTATGGTATAATGGAATGATTACAAGCTTCGGAGAACACAACAGGGTTGTAGATAAGCTCTCACACTTATTAACTGTATGATTCAGGCAACATATTTAACTTCTGTGAATAATTAGTCATTTGTAAAGTGAAATAATAATTATAGGGATAATAAACAGAAAACTCAAAGTATAATACATAACATATTAGGATTTCCAAAATGATAGCCATTTTTATTAAAAATCTGTTATAAGTAAACTTTACCTGTTGTAGTATTATCATGGTGATTAGAAGCATAATCTTGTGAAGCCAGACTGCCTGGGTTCAAATCTAAACCCTTCCATCTATAGTTGCTTGACCTTGGGCAAGTCACTTGCTATATCTGAGCCTAAAGATAGGAAAAGTAACATTATCTGTTTCATGGGGTTCTTGTAATTAAATATACTTACTGATATATATGTTAGAATATTAATGAGATACGTAATTGGTTAGGTATACAATGTATGAAATATTTTTAAAACTAGGAGTTTTTTCCCTGAGTTGTTTATTAAAGATAATCTTCAATGAAAATTTAGGTTGAACAATAAATCCATCATTACCTCTTTAGACTGGTGATAGCAATGTGTAATATCACTGAATGTTTTACTATATGCTGGGCTCTATGCTAGGAGCTTTGTTGACATTATACTTTTTTTATACAACAAACCTATGAGTTGGATGCTGTTGTTAATGCCAACTTCAAAGAAGACAACTAAAGCTTCAAAAAGTTAAATAACTTGCCCAAGTCACACAGCCAACTAAGTAGAGACAAACATTCAAGTCTAAACAATCTAATTATCATTTATATTAATAGTCACAATATTACCTCTAAATTAGCAGTAGAATTTTGTATTCAACGTGACCCCCTTTCCTTCCCACACCTTAAAATGCCCTGGGAAAGGAGCTTTTAACTGGACCATTGAGGCACATAAAACCCAAGGCACTTGGTTCTTGCCTATGAAAACATAGTCTACAGAAAAATAACCTGTTCTCTACACATATCACATTGACAATAGTATAAAAAAAAAAATCTCTTCCCATAATATCTAGTGCTTACATTTTCTGCTTTTTTTTCTTACTTAGAGTCAGCCAACATAAGAAACAGAAATTCCTTGCTTTCATTTCTAAGTTCCACACTCTTGCCTTTGCAAAAAGATCTTAGAGATACTAAAGAGCAAAGACACTGCTCCCTGAAGATTTTATTTGTATCTCAAACCCTTACAACAGCCATATTAGATGTTTTGTGTTTTATGAAGTTACTTTTCTCTTTTTTTTAACCTCCAAGATGAAGCATTGGCAGTTTTAAAACTATATTCTGCTCTATAGTAGTTCTTCTAAAGGGAGATAGGTGTTACAGTGTAATTGTGGATAGTGCAGAGTAGTAGCTAGGGCTATGCAGCCTCCACTTCAATTTCAACAAGACATTTATTTTCATCTTTATATTCAGATTCAAAGTTAGGTGTCAGTTGAAAAAGCATTTCATGATATAAAGATATTGACATATAAACAAGATGGATGCGTGGATGGATGGAAAATGACAGTTTGGAGCTAGGGGTATAACTCAGTGGTAGAGCATTTGCCTGGCATCCAAGAGGCCCTGAGTTCATTTATCATCACCACAAGAAAAAAAGTTCAGTCCATTATGTAAAGTACTTACCTAGCTAAATTGTGTGTGAGTGTGTGTGTGTGTGTAACAGTGTATATATATGTGTACTCTCCCAAAAATTATGACCAGGGGAGGAATTTATCCGCAGAAAGCTATCCGTCTAGCATAAACATGCAAATTGCCCTTCTGGGTGACCTAATGAGACCAGTAGTCCCATTAGTCTACCATTCATGTGGTTCTGACACTAACAACTTTCTTTTCTTATCTTAAAATAGGAATCAACTCTGAGACTACTTATTCTCTCCTCTATCCCCAACAACCCAAACAGTTTGTATCATTTACTTATCTAGTCTGAATATTTTTAAGTTGGAATCTGTAGATAGATTATAGATGTATATATGTCCTCCAGTCCCCGAATATGTAAAATATTATTAAATGTATGTGTGCATTTCTCTAGGAAAGAAAATCCCATTGCTTTTACAAGAGGGTACAAAATCCCAGATTTTCAAAGGGTTTCAAGGCCAAGAAACCACTAAAAATCATTGATCTTATCAATTCTACTTTTGTGCTAAACAGAAGTACAACAGAAAAAAATAAATGAAATTTAATGTGTTAACTAGAATCAAACAAAAAGGTAGCTGGTTAGAGCTGTTATTTCAGATAGATCGACCCAGAGGCTCCTTGAGCTCAAATCTATTTTCATAACAATTCTAAGGCATTTTTTGCCTTTTTTACTCTTGGTGTCTCATGCATGCATAGTAAAGTTTCCCAAAAGCCACAGGACATGTGATATCACAACAGATTGAGCAGAAAATCAGACATATGAATCCAGCTGTCTTTTTATTAAGCCAGACGTTATAAATATTTGTAAATTGTAAAACAATGCCTGTCTTTTCTCACTGAATTTTTGAGACAGTTATTTTTTATAATAATCTAGTAAAACCTTGGATTACAAGTAACTTGTTCCAGTGTTCCATAAGACAAGCAAATATTTTTAATAAATTTCAACTTGCTAAATAAGCAATGTCTTGCAATACAAGTAGTACATGATGTTGAATGTTATGTGATCACAATTGAGCCAATGGTTCCCCCCTGTTTTTCTTTCTTCCTCCCTTTCTTTCTCCCTCTCTCCTTTTCTCTTTCTTTCTCTCTCACTGCGGGATTGTGGGTGATTGTCTCCCTACAGCGAGAGATTATGAAGGAGATCTCATCTGCTGAGGAGGAGGAGAAAAAGGTGGTAGAATCCCCCACTTCACATGAGATTAGAGAGATGTGTAGAATGTGAGAAACAATACAACATTTTGTAGAAAAGCACCACTCAAAAAAGGCTGTAGCAGTGTGAACAATGAATCTGTTTAACAGCAGTGCAATATCGCATTTCTGTGAAATCCTCAAAAGGAGGCAAAAGCAAGTATCATTGGATAGGTTCCTTATTAAAGTTGTACAAAAAGAAAAAGATTCCATTGAGCCAATAGATAGCAGTGATTCCATTAGTGACAGTGAAATTTATCCTACACAGTAACCCTTCTCTCTCTTGTCTCCCTCAC